TTAATAACATTTTTTACTGTAAAGCGCCATGAGCCATGGATATGGCGCTATACAAATCTATTATTATTATTATTATTATGATGATGATGATTAAACGAATTTTCTGTTGCATTTCTTGATTCGGCCATCCCTATTTGCTGATTTTATACTCAGATGCAGTGATAGGCAACTTGTATTTATGTAGATTCCTCGGGTTTCTTTTGTTGTTGCTGTTGAATTCATTCCGTTTGGTGAAAAACTTATTGATGAATTTCTTTATAGAAGGTTATTGTGTCGAGTAGATGGTCTATGGGAGCTCCGCTTTTTTAGGCTTGGCTATATCTCTGCTCGACTGCCCCTCCCTTACGACGCCATGGTATAGTTTTGGCGGGAAATAACACGATAAACGTGTTAAATATTTTATGATCTTGAATGAAAAATTACGAAATGTGATGCAGCAAGTTCGAAAATTCGGGAAATGTGAAGAATTTCAGGTCAACTATTTTGGGCGATCAAATTATTGCTAATCCGGTTCAAATTGCTAAAGCCTATTTTTAAGACAGAGAAAAACAGACAGAAAGATAGTAAAATACTGCAGCACTTTTCAGTTTATACATCCCAGATAGTACCAACAACAGGGAAATGTAACTGTGAAGTAAAACGGCGTAGAAATCTGTTTCAATGATAATTGTTCTCTTTAGAATCAGGCCGACCAATTTCCCAAAGGAACACGCCCTGGGTATAGGTCACGCAAAATATAGCGTGCAAATTGGCCTCGTTTAACCTTGATGTTTTTGTGGGCTGGAAGTTTAAAAAGTGTCTATTTTCTTTCTGTTCATATTACTGTCAGGTAGTCAAGTTGATTACGCTTTGAAAAACGCAAATGCCATCTAATCGCTCCGAATCACCACAAAACTTTATCACCGTTTTTAGAAAGCATTCACGAGTCGAGTTAAGAAACATTTGTTGAGCCGGAAATACCGTTTTTCCTTAATGTGTTACAAGTTTCAAAGCTTTTAGAGCGAACAATGCAGTTTTATAAGAGGTTTTACTTTTTTAGAAGCGACCATTCTCTTTTTGGTTCTTGCCCATTCAGTCACCGCCTTCCGTCCTCTTGAATCACTTATTTTTTTCGATTAATTTTGTCCATGTCGCCACAATATGCTACTACAATTGCTGACCGTCTTTCAGGTTGTTTTTGACCTTGATATCGATAACCTAAAAATGTTCACGGTTAGAATATTAAATTCACTCCTTCAATCGAACAATATTAGAAGAGGGACTGATCATAACTGTGATCATAATCTCTTGTATTGGATTAAATTTTGTGGTTTTTATTCGATATAAAGTTGGGTTTGACACAATGATCAGTTCATTCTGCAAAGCTGAAACAAAGATCAAGAATTATTTAGCGAAACTCGACTAACCTCGGAGGAAAATTTAATGAATGCATGTTTGAAGAGGCTGAAACGTGCCTACGCGGAAGACAAGATCTAAAAGCTGAAGCATGCGGAATTACGAAAGCGGTGCAAATGTATCAAGAAATCAAAAAACCATGTGCTTATGAAAACAAGGATCTAAGATTCAATCCTAATACTCCAATTGACTTCAATTAAAAATTTGTCGCTGAATTTTATTTTGAGGAAGTTGGCGCCAAAAATATGCAAGTCCGTAAGCCATCGATAAGTGGGAGTTTAGGGGCAGTCATGCATGAATAATTGATTGACACGTCCTTATATTGCGAAAACCCATGTTGATCACCGCGATCGGAAGTGGATATGGCGGCGAGTTGAGTTGGTTCAAAAGTGTAACGAGCCTTTTCAGGCTTCTAGCAGCGCTTAATTCCCAGGAACATGGCCAAGTGGGATTCTAAAAACCTAGAAATTAGAAGCAAATCTGTCGAACAAACGCTGGTACCGCTTGTAACACAGGTAATTATTTTGTCGCTTTGTGACCCATAACGACTGCGAGACAGTGTTTAGCGGGAATATATCCTCTTTGCAAGAGAAAAACCCTACTTGTGTTTGATCGGTCCACTAGCTTTTCCTGATTTTAGCGTGGAGAAATTCCTGTGACTTTCTTGTCCGAATTGTGATTGACGATGTTTTGGTTATCTCTTAAATTTGCAGATAACCACGCTTGTTAACCACAAAGAGCAAGGACGCCGCTCCGAAAGGGCTCTGAAAGCAATTCAAGAAATTGGAAAAGTTGTAGCATATGCTGTCGAACGCTTTGTGAGTGTCGGCGAACAGATTGCACTGGAAAATGAAGACGTTGCAGATGAAATGCGCGAAGCTTGTGAAGAAGCAAAAAAGTCAGGACAAACAATTTTTAATCTTACAAGTTCTGCTGGAGATTCTTTTGATGATGGCGTTCCGAACTCGACCGATAAAAGCGGAATGGTCCGAGCTGCACGATCACTGTTATCGGCTGTGACTCGGGTTTTGATTATTGCGGATTCCATTGTTGTGAAGAGACTTCTAACAGCAGTTAAAAAGGTAAAGAGTGTGTTATGTTTGTGTTTGAATAGCCAGGTTTTTGGGAGTTGTCTTGGTTGTGACGGGAAGGCCACGGTGATTAACTTGGGGATTATTTGTGCGAAGTTGTTTATTCTGTTCCTTAGTTCTTCTTTCACAAGTGTGCAAACTAGAAAATCTCACCGAAGAATAGTTGACTTCTTTTATTAGATAGGAATTGTTACTAATAAATCTATTGACGTGACGTGGTAGTTTAATTCCCATCTCTCAAGAATCTCGCAACCGCAAATTATGTTCTTCGATTCATTACCTAGAGCTTATTTCTTTTGAATGATTTTAACAATTTGATTACCTGCATTTCATTTGATTGTAGAACTTTTCGCCGCAAAGGTCACATAAATTGAATTAAGTCCGTTTTTTTTCTAAGTGGAGAAGAAAGTGGAAGAGTAGTAAAGCCTGTAAATAAGTAATACCGTTAGTGACTTAAAATGTCCGTGAAAAAGGCGTTTGGTATGCGTTTGCATAAATGATTGGAACGTTTGGCGGTTCGGAAAGTATTCAAAGATCGATTGTGAAAGGTTTGATTACAACACCATTAAATGATTCTCAATTTCACACCTATAAACATTTCTTCGGCTTCTCTGGAGAATACTACTTACAGTTGTAACAACTCAAACCTCGACTTTTTGTCGAATATGTTATTATTGGATTACAGTGAAATTGCGCCAATTCCAAAACATCTTACGACCAAATTGAGAAGCATATCGTTGCCCTTTTAAATCCCGGCATTACGCAACTGTTTGCAAACATGTATGTGAAGAATAGCCATTGAAAAATCCCAAGTTTGTTTACTTTATCTGATTTGTAAAATAGCCCCCTCTTTAACTTGTAACTCAGAACTAACGAGATTATTTTGGAAACTTCCAAGAGCTGTCAATTGCAGAGGTCACAAATATGTGGTTCACGTTTTAGCGTTTTGAGATTTTTGATTGACCTCGCAAAATGGTCGCTTTGTGTTGATGTAAATTTCAGAGCACTGTAATTCACACACTCTTCATTGTCTTGTGTGAGTCTTGTTTACGACTTACGTCCACCTTGTTTATCCAGTCCTGTTGTTCATGACAGTGTTGTGTTATATAGGTATCAATTCAGGTTGAGTTCAATGTTTTTGTTGTATATTTGTAAAAACTTGCAGGTGATCTGGGAATAAGTCACAATTTTTTCTAAGCTTACAAAAAATCCTCCGTATTAATTGTGTAAATGAGCCTTTAGATGGCTGGTTTTTCACTGAGGTAGAGAGAAGAAACAAAAGCTTTGCCCAAACTGAAATAAAAAGTTGAGGGGGATTCCCAGTGTAAAAGATGCTGGCATACATAATACTGATCAGTTTCTAATTTCTCCTTAATACCTGAAAGGGGGATGTAATTCCCATTCCATTTCCCAGCCTTTTTTGCACAAATCCCAGACCCATTTCAATTTTTTCCTAATTGTGATTCCCAGCACCAGTTTTCCACTGAAAAAATTGGCAAATCCAAGTTAACATTTTACCCCTTCAGGCCCCATACAAGAGCCTTGGCCAAACAGAATGACAGTACTAAGTAGTCAAAACCTCAAAATCATGCTTTTGTTTGGCCTGAAATTCTTGCACACTCTGATAGGTTCTCATCAGTTCTCAGCAACTCTGATTGAACGCAAACTTGCAAAACGTTTGCACAAATCAATAAGCATTTTTGTTGGTGTCCGGTATAATTTTTGTAAAGTCTTGTGCACTGCCATCTTTATTTGGCCATTCTTATTGGAATGTTTGTCAATAAGCGTTCCAACTCCATTGAACTCTCAGTGAGTCTCATTTTTGTTTATTCCTTGCTTGACAAGCAGGCATGATTGATAAGAATAGAGATAATCAATATTAATTAATTGATTCAATAATTTATTAATGAATGAATATCAACACTAAAATAGACATCACATTTCAACAACTGCATGTCATTATTATCAAAAGTTATATAAATTATGAAGTTGACAGATGATATATATACTCAGTATAAGACTTACATTGTAAGTGTGAAAATGTGAATGAATCTATGCTTAAAGGATATTATGTCATGCAGTGCAAAGATACAAAATTTATATTTGAGTGGAACAAACAATATTTTATGATGATGGTTGTTGAAACATTACATCTTTTTTAGCATTGATATTCATTCTTAAATGTTTTCCTAAATTGTCTCTTATTAGAAATTTTATTTATTTTAAATTATATTAATTTGTAGTGAGCTTATGGATTGTTTATACATGTATGTTTATTTCCTGCAAAATCTCAGGTGGATGATAGACTGAAGGAGCTTGAAGGTGTGAACACATTCACAGACTTTGTTCAGGCATTTAGCCAGTTTGGATCAGATATGGTAGAACTAGCACACTTGTCAGGGGATAGACAAAATGTAAGTGCTACACACGTTGGTCAACACATTTAGACATCTCCTCCTTAGAGCCTTTGTGAAAGGGGCAGTGGACTAATTGTGCACTGGACTCTGCAAATATTAGCAATCTGGATTTAAGTCCTGGCCAGGGTTATTGTGTTGTGTTCTTAGGCAAAACAATTTACTCTCACAGCACCTCTAACCACCCAAGTGTATACAAGTGTATACTGGGGGTACCCTGCAATAGACTAACATTCTGTTACGAGTATCGTTGAAGAGCAGGGTTGTTTCCAGACAGAACTCAGGATCACTGGTAACAGCAACAAACTAATTTATTTCCGTAAGGTAACTCCACGAATTTACAGCACTAAGCTTCTTCAAATTTGAATCAATCTCCCTTACAGAAGAACCTCTCACTCTAATATACATGAGGCTTAAAGTTCTAGAAACTTCTATTTGGAACTAAATTAAGTAGTCTGAGACAGTTTCTAATCGGAGTAATGACATAAGGAACAGAATGTTCTGGAATGTTCTTATACAAGTCGGTAACGGCTGAATGACTTCCGGTTCTAGATTGTTCTAGAATTTGACTTAGACAATTTTTCGTAACACATTCTATCCAGGGAAGGAAGGAAGGAGAGGTGGTTCTGTGGTCTGAAGATTTAGCTTGTGACAGGCCCTTTGCACGATCCGGTCACATGGTACAAAATCACACATGCTGGTGAGCAAGTTCCACAGTGGGACTTCCAAAACAAAGGCAGGTCCAGGTGGACTGGTATGAGTGGCATTGTTTTGGAAGTCCCACTGTGCAACTTGCTCACCAGCAGGTGTGATTTTGTACCATGTGACTGGATCGTGCAAAGGGCCTATTGGTTATAACACAATAAACTTTCCAGACATATCTTTGGTGTTCACGGTTTTGCAAATTTGATAGTAAATCTCTTCTGGATCCAGTGGGTAAGTAGTCCAATTTCAATATATTAAAATTCTAACTTGGTTCTGAGACTTAGAGGAATAAAACAAAAGACATTTATTTGATTATTCATCCCTCAATCTCTCTGTGTTTTCTTTTGTTTTATTCCCTTAAGTCCTGGAGCCAAGTAAAAATTTTAATGTATCGAATTCAGCCTACTATTTTCAAGATAGTGCACAAGATCTACGGCAAATTTTGCGCAAAAACTTTTCGAAACTCCCCTTGATGTCATTGATTTATTAGAACAGGTTTCCTCATGTTCTATTTTGTACTTGTTTCTGAACTACCAGGATTTAAAAGATGATATTTTAAAAGCTGAAATGGGGGCAGCAAGGTCAATCTTGGAAAAGTCCACAATGATGCTATTGACAACTTCGAAGGTAAATGTAAGATTGTAACATGAAAGATCTTGTTTAAGACAAGCTGATAGCAGGATGAGGAAACATTTGCCTCAAGGTCATTTTGCATGTTGCTTCACTCGGTCTCCTCACTACTTTTGTAATGGTTAATTTCTTGTTACAGACTTGCCTGAGGCACCCAGATTCTAGATCTGCCAAGGGCAACAGAGAAGGTGTTTTCAAGAAAATGAGAGAAGCTATGGCGACAATAACGTCAGTAGTGCAAGATGAACACAAAGAGGAGATGGCAGAAAAAGGCTCCTTGGCCATGGATCTTGCAGAATTTGAAGTAAGTGTTTTTAATCCAACTCTTCTACAGGTAAAAACAACAGACTTTATGCACTATGCCCCAATGGCAGAGTTGGAGGAGACAGCTCACATGGCAGGAAGCGAAGCGCACTGCTCAAAATAGGGTCAGGTGGTGGGCACTAGTGGACAACCTTTGTTCCATAAGGAACAAAGAGGATTGAGTGAGTGAGTTAGTGATGCACTATGCCTGCAGAATAAAGCTACAACTTGGCTATCAATGCTGAGCTCTGTTTGCAAGGTAAAAATACACTGTAAACAATACTATGGGAAAAATTTCCCTTGAGAAACAAAGCCGCTTTAATTCCAGTGGTATGAAAAATCAAAATTGCAATCAAATCCAAGTCTGCCTCACAAAAGTGAGGGCAGAAAATCACCATTGACGCCTATGCATAATAGGATAATGATTTTTTAAGTTAAAATTTAATATTTAAGCTCCCTTTTGGATCAAACCAGACTTTAAACTTTCATTTGCATCTCCCATTGTTTTTCACAGACCACTTTAGAGGCATATAAGCAAAGCTCTCCTGATGACAGTGAATCCAAGATTAAATTTCAAAAGGCTTTTGCCAAGATCCTGGATGATGTACAATCTGTGATCGCCTCTCCTCATACAAGGAAAGAAAAAAGAGAAAAAATAGTTGCTCTGTGTGAAAATGCTCAGGACATTATGAAAGACATTTTAGAAAAGCACAAAAACAATGAGGTAATGGCAGTTCTCTATTTTCTCAACTCCTCAGTCTGAGAGGTTGTTCTGAGTACATTTGACAAATCAACCATATTTTTCAGTGGTCCACACAGACACTGTTGAACCTGTCCTTGCAGTGACTTGCACAGTATGGACACCTCTGTCATTACAGACAGTTAACTTGCTCATAGAGAAAACAGAATTAAGCCCTGGACTTGATATGCCCACATTAGAGACGTGTAACAGTATTTGTTATGTATAGAACGTATTTTAAAAAATTGATGTCAAAAATTGTTTAATTATTAAGGCAAGTGGAATGATTAGCAAAGCAAGTTGTTTCACTACTAATGATCCTTCAAGAGTTTTTCTGGCACTGTTTCCTAATAGGTTAAATGCATGTTTACTAACCCTTTGAAATGTGACAGAAGTTTCGCGAGTCCAGAGTATTTGTAAGGGCTAGTAAGATGTCCTTGTAATGGAACCACTGGTGATCTTCAAAATATTACCAACAGTTGCCACAATCTTCTTGTCTCATCCAGCTACTTGTATGTCACCCATTCATTAAGGTGCAAGCATTGCCCTCTAAAATATTGGTGACGTATGAGATGTTTTCTGTTCCAGAAAGAAGATGCAACCAGTATTGACACTTTAGATATGGCTGTGCAGAGGATTTGCAAAACCTCAAAAGATCTCAGACATGAGGTACATGGTTTCTCTTATTACTCTTTAGACAGGGGATTCTTCTTTCAAGATGGGTGCCTGCACGCTTCTAGTGTGTTTGGCAACAATTTGGGGGCATTTGATAAATTTAACACTTAAATTGCTGGCCAGGGCTTTTTTTCCAGTTTAATTAAAAAGTTATCGATCTGTGTATTCCAAAAAATTGCATCAACAACCACTAAGGAAGTGATAGCTTTAACAGTAATTGTTAATGGTTTGAAAGGGGGGAACTAAGAAGTCCAAAAAAGTCAAAACCTTCATATATATTAGGTATACCCCTAAACTAAGGCTCATTTTTAAAGCTCTGTATGAACAGGTTAAGAACAAATGCATTAGAAACTACATTGTTTTTCCAGAAAAAAGTTCCAAAACTTTCAAGGTTGGTGAACTACATGTATACCATGTATGGGGTGTGTCACAATTTTATGTTTCAATCAGTAGATCTACAAGATCAGTGCAAAAAATTCATCAAAATTGGTCAGATTTGAACCAAACAATGACGTCACGATCATGTCAGTGCTCTCCTATGGCAAAAGGGTTAAGGGATGGCTTTATTAAGTGGCTTCATAATCAAATCTGGAATCGCTTTTTTTTTTGTTCAAACAGGTCCACCAAGTAGCAACAGATCAAGTATTTGAGACATTTTCACATTTAGGCCACAAAAAATCTTTACCTGCTTTGAGAAATGCAGCAGCCTCTGGCAGTTCAGGTCAGCTTGAGAGTTTAGCAAACGTTTTCATGCAAGATGCAAAGCGGCTACAAGAAGTAAGTGATCACTAGCCTCTTGTTACTGGTATTAATGACCATTGATATCTCTCTTTATAAGGAGACTGTCTCTCTGGGGCAATTTCCTTTTCAAGGCAAATATACCTTTCTAAAGGCACATCCTTTCCCAAGCCAGACACTCAAGTCATCTCTCCAAGTCAGAGACCTTACTAATGTCAGGGCTGTCATTAAGTTTTGATTCACCTGCCGCCTTTATCTTCACACCCGTAACCAACTTCTTACTTTCTGGGTGAATTGTATGAATGACAGGCAAGCTCTCCCGTAACATCAAGGGCTCATCAACCATACTCGCCGTAACCAGTCGTAACAAGTGTTACAGCCCTTACTGACAGCCCTGAAGGTGATCACTCTTCTACTTCGAATCCATGTCTCTTAGTTTTGAAATATGTGTAGTAGTTACATTAAGTTCCATGTGAACAGTAAATAATAAATTGTGCTGCTCTTTTTGTTAGTCAGAGCATTTATTTTTCCTATTGTAATGAATTGTGTTTAGAACTTTGTAACTGAAAACTGAATGGGTGATTATTCTTTTATTTGTTCCCAGGTGTCAAGAGTAACAAGAAACATGGCATCCAATAAGCCAGTTGCTATCACAGCAGAAAAAGTTGAAGAAAATATCAACACACTTTGTCCACAGGTTAGTGGTTTTGGTTCACTTATTAGATAAAGTTAATAATCACTTTTGGGCAGTGGATAGAGAGAGAACAGAGCTACAGTCACATAGCCATCTGCAAACATTACTTACCTATGATGCTAACTAAAACTTAGTAATTATGGCATCTACAATAAATTATAATAATTATTATTTACTATAAATGTTATAATTGCTAATACATATTATTATAATTAGGTAATAACAACCTATTTGGGAAAAGACATAGTACCCTAAGTGAGTTTATGCTGTGGAAATCTTCAACTTTCTTGCAAAAAGAAACTATGGAAGCCCTGTAAACGTTACCCTTCTCTTGGTAGGTAATACATGCTGCTAGAACGTTGGCAGCTCATCCTGTTAGCAAGATTGCACAAGAGAATATGGAAGTGTTTGTTGATGTTTGGGAAGCCCAGGTAGAAGAGCTTGGAAAGGTCCTGAGACTTATCACTGCTGGGGGAGACCCAAGTAAAAGTGAGTGTGCCAGAGAATGTATTCTTGATGTATTCTTGGTTATTTTTTGGTGAATTATAGAGATTCTGGGTTTTGTTTTTGGACTTATGGCATAATTCCAACCCCTCTGATCAACATCATTGCAACATGAAGGCAGAATCTAACCTCACATATAAATCTGATCGCCATTCCTTCAGGAAATCTTACCTGAAGGAGTCCTTGTGTATTATAATGCTTTCTTAACCCTTTGAAACAAGAACCCTGATTGAAAAACAGTCTTTAATGACCTAGCTTGAACAGGGCTACTTACAACTATAGAAGAAATAAATCAAATTTTTTTACTCAAGAATGTTAAAGTTATTTAATAGATCTGTTTTACTTTGATTGGTTTAAAAAACTTACCTGTAAATTAAAAGGAAAAAACTTATTAAATTAATTAATGTTTTTCAGTAGTTCATCTAGTGCCATCCAGTCCTTTTAAAGGCTTCTCTCGCTTACAGGATCACACTAGATGAACTACAGAGCCCTTGGTCAGGGTTGTCAAATGCAGCCAGTCTGCCGGCAAAAATGGCCATTTATTTATTATCTCAGCAGGCTGCTCTGCTGAGTGATTTTACTGATTCTTTTAAAAACAGTGAAAAATCAGCCACCATCTTCAAAGCTTTGTGACAACCTGCTTGGTTTAAACTATTTTCTTTGTTGGTGTTTCGGCACACTGCATCCAAACAAAGATTAGTCACATTGGTAATTAAAACAAGCAACTGTAGGCCTGTCTGTGAAGTTGTAAGCTAAAAGGGAATGAAAGACTCTGCTCTGAATTAAAGTACAATTTTTATGGTGTTCAAATGATGAAAACGTAGAAAATACATGTATAGTGCGGACTTTTGATCGTCATTTTCAACTACAGTACTGACAATAATATGGTTGAAGTAGCAGCTTACATATGATAACGACAAAGCAATGTTTTTATAGCCGTCACATTTACAACTTCTCTTTGATTAGTGTCTGTTCAATTGCAGCCATAATCGATTATAATGACAGCAGCTAACTACTGGCTGTTTAAAGTTAAAGAAAAGTAAAACTGGAATAATTTATTGTAACTGAAACATAAGCCTTACAATGTAGTCTATTATTTTATTTTTTTTTATATCAACCACTATCAAAAGGTAAGATAAAAAAGGCAATTTGGAATTGTCAACATTTTTGAATGAGAACTTGAATATTTTGTATTTCAATAATGAAAATGATTATTAAGTCATAATAAATTAAGTAATGATATTCTTACCGGTAAATTTATTTCTTGTATTTCATTGATTAACAGGGAGATCTTTTCGGATGGAAACTTCAGTTTGAAGCGCAGCATTTGGAAATCATGTAAAATGTATATAAACATAGGAAATAACTAATTTTTGAAATGATAAATGATTTTAAACTTTTGTAGTAAAAGTTTGTAAACAGTTTAAATTTTGTAGAATATTTAACAGGATTGTAAAATCAGTACAGTTTGTAAATAGTGAGGTAATTATTGTAAAGCAATTTTAATTTATCTTTCCGACAAGCGTTTACTGCCATCGTAATTCACCGTCTGAAAAAGGCTAAACTAACAATTTAAAAGTCTCACAACAGTAAAAACTCAGATAATTCTCTGTTGAACCTAACTAATCAAGATACTACAACATGTTCTTAAGAATAAATTATTACATACAAATTTACACCATTGCATAAGTGCAGTAAAAACCAGCTTGTAAGAACCTACATTTTTTGAAGTCTGCCAAAATATGTTGTTATTTTGACTTATTTTGGGGTAGTTATGGGCACATTAGGCTAAGTAGGTGCTACATTTGCTTGATCTTGCTTGGCTCAACAAGTTCTTATATTTTTGGGAATTAAAATGGCAAATTTCTGCCAGCAGGTTCTTAATCCACTAGGTTCTTGCACGCAGGTTTTTTACTGTATTGCTGAATGTTTAAACAGGACATAATCCACTTTCCTCATCCAAATTATGGACAAAACACATTGTGTTGTTCCAGAAATAATCCATACACTCCCCCTGGTAGGATGTTTGGATTGAACACCCCTGACCCTCGCCCCCATTTACCCCTCCAGAAACTCCAGTTTGGCTTTGTACTTTCCTTTAAAAGTTTTGGCTTTTGAGATCCTTCACCCCCTCAGAAATGTTCACAATGAGCTTCCATATTTTCTGAACTGGATGCTATTAAAATATGGAAACACTTTTAAAGGATGTTAGTCATGAATGGTGTGCTAACTGATTGTTTTGTGACTTACAAAATTGTCCTTAAACTGAAGGAAACCTAAAATGAATAGTTTATTAAAGTGTGCAAAACATCTAATAGTTAATGATGAACTAAAAAGGTTAAGATTGGGTCGGAAGACTGAGATTGATTATGAACAGGAAATAAAAGGATTAGAAACTTATATGCTCAAGATATCAAATTAGCTCCTTTAAATTTTGACACTCTTTTGATATTTAAAAAGTTTTCTTTTGCTTTGACAGAAATATGTTCAATACATTTTGTAAACCTTGTTTAAACTTTTGATTTAGCCCTTGCCTTTACAAGTCAACAGTCTTGCAATATTTTTTAGATTCACTTAAACAAGCATTTTTGATACACCCTGGAAACATCTATAAGGAGAACAGACTACTATAAAAGTGACACCTTAGAGACAATTAAAACCAATACTATGTAAACTTAAAACTTAGTTCAAAATAAACTCAACAAACAGCTTTAGAATTGAAGTTTCTTGGATAATTGCAATAATTATTGTTTAGTTGTTAATTAATCTTCTTAATAATGAGACAAATTATTATTGTCATTTAAAAGTTGCACTTTCATGTGATTTATTGTTGCATTTACAAGCTAAAAATGTTATTCTCTGACTGATTACCACACATTTTTGTAATGTCAATG